GCACTACAGTAGAGTGAGTGCAATTCCATAATAGAATAATTTTATTTAGTAAATCCGCAGTGATACAGTTTTATTTAATGACAACTTTTCAAGAACAATTTAGCACTGATGATTCTCAGGTTTTGTGTATCTGGTTCCATTATTTTCAAGAGTTAGTTTGTAGGGATTTGATTTCTTTTAGGTTATATCACACATTGATACCAGTTAGAGAACCAGTGGTAACCGGCAGGGAGTACTGGACAGCTGTTTCCTCCCAATGCGGCACTCATAGGTAGAAGGCACCTACCGGGATTCGAACCCTAGACCTTCCATTTAAAAGGTATGCTCGTAGCCCATTCAATCACTGGGACCCAGGTAAGTGGTCCATGAATTCGAACTTCTACCGATTCATGACTTCAGCTCGAGCACTGGCCAGTGTGATCGGCAAGTATTACTCCTCACTCCCGACTGGATGAACCCCAATAGTCACGACTTCACACTAGAACTCCAGACAACTTAGTCTATTATTGTTTAATCTTTATATCTCGTCTCACGTACTGCCACTGTGTCATTTTAATTGTACATGTCAGGTATAGGTTTGATATGCCGATAATTTAACAGAACCTGGATCCAATGGTGCAAGGTATTTTACAGATTACGTAATTATGCCCAATTGGGAGAGTATTATCATTTAGCTTATCCTTGAGTGAGTTCAAAAATTTTCGAATTCCATCCTAATTCCTGTTTTATTAAGAATCTCGTATGTAGGTTCAGATAACCTCATTATGTGACGATATGATGTGTTCGTTCTTTCTTTTTGTTTGTTCAGTAATTCCACTACTATTTCTCCTTTTATTATTAGTTTTTTGCGCTTCCCTCTTTACCAGTCTTATGACTGGCTTAGAGGGGTAAAGAAGTGTGTCGGCCTGGGATCGAACCCCTGACCACATGCGTGTATGGTGTGCATTCTACCACTGTGCAACTGAAGCAAAAGTGTTATATGGTATCCAAAGGCTATTTATCAGTAATTATAGATCTAAAAACAAATTGATTGTGCTATGTATCACTCTAGGACTAATTATAGCCGATATCTTCCTTGTAAAATTACAGAATCGACTTTTAAAAGGTTTAACTGGTGAAATGGAATTCTATTGTCTTTACGTAGATGACACGTCTTTGATTATTATTATTGCTGTTGTTTTAACCATCTTCAATTGCTGCATAAATCTTCGCCTTAATTTTATCTGATATTCAGTTTAGCGTTATACTGATACCTATTATCACTTTGGTAGTATTAATTCTGTTGATTTCAACAACCCGATACTACACAAAAAGACACATCACTGTTATCAATATCAATTGCTCTCTGGATATTGTGTGTGTGTGTATAACTGTAGAACTTAATGTAGGAGTCACCGAAAAGAATCTCCTTCCTCTTGTCTTTTTTACTGTTTAAATGAGGATTTTCATTGTATCCCGGATTTGTAAAAAATTATATTTGTAAAGTCTCAGCGAAATTGAAATGAGTAATTCCAACGTTTCGTTCGGCAATCTGGTCCGAACATTCTGTTTAAAGTGTTTAACAAAGGTAGACCAATATTTGTAAGTCCGGGGTCAAATTTTGATGACAGCTCATACAATTTTGTTTATTATGCTTGTTGATACTTTTTGAATGACTCATGATTGGACAAATTTTCAAAAACAAGTGATGTTCCTTTTTATATATAAACCTATGTTATGTTAATTTCGATTAATTTCCCTGAAGAAGTTCGGACCAGATTGCCGGACGAAACGTTGGAATTACTCATTTCAATCTCGCTGAGATTTTACAGATATAATTTTTTTACAGATGTCTACTTCTCACTCGGCGCCCAAATATTTTAGAACTATTCTATCAAATCTTGACGACAGTTCATTTGAAGTATTCGAATTAAAATTGTTGGATTTTCGTCCCAAACCAGTACTAGTTAGAGAGATCAAGCGAAACTAAGGAGAATTAGATGGGTATTTCAATTAGTCTTGGTGCTGTTCACCACTGCACAGCCACAAACCTTCCTCCCGGGAATCCAGCCCAGGACCCTCAGGTTATGCGACCGAACTCGCTAACCATTCGGCCACTTGAGTAGGAATCCAATGAGCCCTGATTTCTAACTTTGTCAACTCGTGATTTTGCGCTGCCCCCAACCAACACCTTCGATAAATATCTACTTTATCTTGACATAGTGACTCCACCGGTCACGACTGGATTTTGGATGAATTATGATTGTTACACATTCATCACAAACCAAAATCAGTTGGAGAACTCATTGAAAATTAGGGAGCACTGTACAAATCCTATCATCTAAATATCATTGATTATTTGAGAGAGAGAGACTGAAAGAAGACATTGATGGTGTCTAGGCTGTACACTGATGCAAACTTTAACTCACCCTTACCAACCGAGTTACATACTGCACCGCTTCTGATTTCTCCTCAGATTTCCTGCTAAACATCTGCACATTATTTTGTTCCATCACACTAGTGTCCTTCTGTAAGACAAAACTCTTACTTATTGCTTTCGTAGTAATTTCGAAATGTTTTAGCGTATTATTTTAGACAGCTACTTACATAACATATATGAAGCTTTAAGCATATACCCAGAGAGATGTGATTTCTTGACAATAAGTAAATGACTTTGAGCCAGCATGTATTGGATTTGAATCCCTGAGGTTCCGGGTTGAATAACTGGCCCTCACACAATAAGTGTAACCTTCAACATGGTACACAAGTAATATGTTGTGAGCAAATGAGTCCCGAGTAAGCTAATTTATCTCACTGACTGATTAGAGGTATATCTCAATGGTTTCAGTGTAATTCTCACTAATAATAGGAGAATGAAAGCATAGTTGCGATTCCCTATAAGTAATAGTGTCCTCATTGAAATTAAACCTCAGTACCCATCGTTTCAAACACCAAAGCGTTACCTACTAGACCTGTTGGGCCGCGAGAGCCGCCTGTTGAACGACGGGCGTCAGCAGTTATTATTGATTTTGATTTTCCCGTTGACTGTTTCATCCTAGTTTAGGACTATCTAGTGGCATAACCGCAGAAGTTCGGAGGTTATTTTTCCATTGAAAACGAAAAAAAGTTAAGCAAAGTATATTCTTTCCAGTAAATTCATTAGGTTCCACAATTATGTATACGTAATATTCAAAGGTGCGTCGGTGGCATAGCGGTTAGGACTCTCGCCGACCATGCACATGGTCTGGGGTTCGACCCCCGCCGACGCACTCCTTTACCTCGCTAAGCCAGAAATAATACTGGTGAAGAGGAAAATAAACAGTGCTAAAGAAACTTCGAGCCACCAGCTTGAAGTCATATGTTCCACTGGAGAACGTGAAGGAAAAAAAATATTCAAAGACTATTTATCAGTGACAATTAATTTCAGAGGGAATTCAAACAAACAATATGATGTTTCTATGGAATCACCTCTAAGACTAATTATAGCCGATATCTTCCTTGTAAAATTACACAATCGACTTTTAAAAGGTGTAACTGGTGAAATGGAATTCTATTGTCTTTACGTAGATGACACGTCTTTCATAATTATTGCTGTTTTTTTAACCATCTTCAATTGCTGCATAAATCTTCGCCTTAATTTTATCTGATATTCAGTTTAGCGTTATACTGATACCTATTACCACTTTGATAGTATTAATTCTGTTGATTTCAACAACTCGATGCTACTCAAAAAGACACATCACTGTTGTCAATGTGAATTGCTCTCTGGATATTGTGTGTGTGTGTGTGTGAATAACTGTAGAACTTAATGTAGGAGTCACCGAAAAGAATCTCCTTCCTCTTGTCTTTTTAATGTTTAAATGAGGATTTTCATTATATCCCGGATTAATTAAAATGGTTGGATTTTCGTTACAAACCAGTACTAGTTAGAGAGATCAAGCAAAACTAGGGAGAATTAGATGGGCATTTCATTTAGTCTTGGTGCTGTTCACCACTACACACCCACAAACCTTCCTCCCGGTAATCCAGCCTAGGACCCTCAGGTTACGCGACCATTCGGCCACTTGAGTTGGAATCGAATGAGGCCTGAGTTCTTACTTTATCAACTCGTGATTTAGCGCTACCCGCAACCAATACCTTCGATAAATATCTACTTTATCTTGAGATGGTGACCCCACTGGTCACATGTATGGATTTTGGATGAATTATGATTGCTACACATTCGTCACAAACCAAAATCAGTTGGAGAACTCATTGAAAATTAGGGAGCCTGTACAAATCCTGTCATCTAAATATCTTTGATTATTTGAGAGAGAGAGAGAGACTGAAAGAAGACATTGTTGGTGTCTAGGTTGTACACTGATGCAAACTTTAACTCACCCTTACCAACCGAGATACATACTGTACCGCTTCAGGTTTCTCATCAGATTTTCTGCTAAACATCTGCACAATATTTTGTTCCATCACATTAGCGTCCTTCCGTAAGACAAGACTCTTTGCCGGTTAACTGAATTTACGCTGACTTATTGCTTTCTTAGTCATTTTGAAATGATTTAGCATATTATTTTAGACAGCTACTTACATAACATATATGAAGCTTTAAGCATATACCCAGAGAGATGTGATTTCTTGACAATAAGTAAATGACTTTGAGCCAGTATGTATTGGGTTTGAATCCCTGGGGTTCCTGGTTGAATCACTGGCCCTCACACAATAAGTGTAATCTTCAACATGGTACACAAGTAATATGTTGTGCGCAAATGAATCCTGAGTTAGCTAATTTATGTCACTGACTGATTAGAGGTATATCTCAATGTTTTCACTGTAACTCTCACCAGTAATAGGAGAATGAAGGCATAAGACTACTTAGCAGTCATACAACATGTCTGTTTCCCAGGAGAACATAAAACAACCTTACAAATATTGACAATGATAATAATAATACTAATAAAACAGATGGAGGTAAAGTTTAGTATGAACTTATTTTATACTTTCGCTAACACAAACTCTGATTAACTTACAAATCCATATCCTCGACTTTTTCCAGTTTGACGATCTGTGATAACCACAGCTTCATCGATTGGGCCGAATTGATCAAAAAAACAACGTAAACTTTCATCTGTAGTATGATAAGGTAGTCCACCGACGAATATTTTTGTCAAAGTTGTGTCTTTTTGAAGATTAGATGTCATGGCAGGTGAGCTAGGATGGATGATTTAATGAATAAATTGATGCTGAAGATTATGGAAAATAATGAGCAATGAAAAAAATACTGATGATATCGGCCTTCTGGTGTGTGCGTGTGTTGTACAACTTAAGGTTTATTTCATACTCCGAAATTGAGAATTTAGAAAAAAATATCAAGTATATAATACGATGATGATGCAGTTGTGTTGATATTCACCAAATGTGTTCAACTGAGGTCAAGCAAAAATTAACGCAAAAACTGAAATGTGTGCTGTATTATCAGTAATTTTTCACAATCTCAGATTTCCACGTGTACAACTAACTCTAAAATTTGACGATAATGACAAATCTGTAAGATGATTGGTTAATTTTTTTTAATTAGCACTGCAAATCACTGTGGGCACTTTTGATTGGTCAGATTGTAGACATGTCCTTGTAGATATGAGCATCATAATAATATCCAATAGAAATGCAGCAGTAATTTGTGCTAGTAAACAAATTGATCACATGGGAAGTCCTCCATTTAAAAAGAAACAAGAAGAAAGGGAAGTGTGATCAAAGAAGCATGGTGGTGGTGGTGGTGGTGGGGAATAGTTTGATATCTGCCAACATCATATTAACTCCTAGAAAGATATTTCGTCTAACTCCTTCTGCATAAGGAAGTAACGACAAACTGGTATCATTCATTTAGTTAATTCTTGTATACTACCTATTCTACGTTATTCCTCCGCGTTAATCTTTCCTAGACTATTAAAGGAAGACTTTGTTGCACTGTGAAATACACTAAAAGCTGCTGGTAGTAACAGTGGGATGTCACTAAACTAACTCGTCACTTGTGTGTTGTGCAAGAAATCGGTGAATGTCATCTTGCCGGATTATGAGCACACTCTTTACACACACAACTATCTCCTTGAATCTCATTAGACAAGACTATAAGTGGGTGTAAGAGACTTTATACTGGGAAAAATGAGTATAAAAACTCAACGATGCCTTGTTTAGCATACATCACATGTGATGTGAAAAGGAACTATATAGACAAATCGACGGTGTGGCAATGGGGTCACCACTAGGACCCATTCTAGCCGACATTTTCTTTGCGAAACTAGAAAATAGGCCTTTGAAGGATGTTATTAATGAACTCGAATTTTATTGTCGGTACATGGATGATACTCTTTTTGATTATGAAGAACGAAAAGAAAGCAAAGAACATCCTGGATAAATTTAATGAGGTACATCCTGCAATAAATTTTACTATTGAGAAAGAATTAGACTCTAGTTTTTCATTTTTAGACGTCCTTATGACCAGAAAAGAGGACGGCACAATAAGAAGAAGTGTTTATAGAAAACCTACATCAACGGGCCAGTACACATATTTTCTCAGCTTTGTGCCCTTGAAATACAAACGCAATCTAATAAAGTGCTTAGTTCACAGAGCAAGAGAGATTTACTCGGACGAATGTCTTGACGAGGAACTTAACAGTATCAAACGGCTGCTAAGTGAGAATGGTTATCCTGGAAAGTTTATTGAAAAGAATCTGAATCTGAAACCAAAGCAGCCCAAGTTGCCAACAGTTCCAAAAAAGGCCTTGTTCTTACAGATGCAGTTCCTAGGAGACAACACCAGTGAGACACTGACACAGCGCCTTAGAAATGCGGTAAAAAGAGCATTCCCTGCTGCTCAATTACGCTGTATCTTTAAAACCAGTCCTCTTCTGCGTTCGGGAATAAAGGACAAACTACCTAAGTTCGCCTCTTCCATGTGTATATACCAATTTAACTGCTCCTGTGGAGCCAGTTACATAGGTGTGTTTCTCGTCAAATTTCCGAAAATCACCCTGCCTGGTTAAGCGAAGGACAAACATCATGTGCAGACGGAACACAAGATTGATGTTAATCATGCTTTCAGGGTCATTTACCGCGTACCTATGAATCTCAATTTCGCTTTAAGAGTTCGACTGCTAAATATTGCTGAGGCTGTGGGGATCCATATTAACAAGCCTAATTTATGCATCCCGAAGAAGTTAGTTCAGACATTATCACTACCTTGGCCATCTAGGTTTGAATAATCCACAATTTTTGTGGAATTTTCCTAATTTCAGTTGATATTTTATTCGCTATTGTATCTTTATTATTATTATTATTATTAAGCATCTTTAGTGAACTGTAATAGCATTGATCATACTTTACAAATCGATATTATTTTTAAAAAAACGCTATTATTGTTATTAACTACTAATTTAAAATATTCTGTGTATATAAACATACATATATATAACTGTAGAGCCGGAAGAGGAATTTATCGAAAAGGATATTCTTTGCTCGATTATTTTGTGTTTCATAGATGTCTGAAAAGTGTTTGACACAAAACTATTAACTTTCTAAGAAACAGCAAAAAAAGCGGAACTTTTTATCCCTTCTATAATTAATAAATTGGTGTCATCATTTGTAAACAACTTTTAATTTTAATTTCACATCCATATTCTTATTGGCATTATTATCAATGAAAGTGCCTTGTTAATTATCCCTCCTCCATCCCGCTGCTTTGTAAATGTAAAGGGAATAAAGTCACCATTATTATAATCTGAGCAAAGAATGAACAGAGATTGGTACAAGATAACATGGATCCATTTTATTTCGTTGGTTCTCATCATCTGCACACAGCCTAAAATCTTTAATAAATAAAAGTCAGCCTAAAATTTAACATACTTTTGTCACCAACAAGCATATTATAAGAGCGTCATGATGAGGGGAAACATCAGGGTGATAATGTAGCCGAAGTGTAAGTATATATATATATATGAATATGTTAAATCACTTGCCACCCGCATCCGACGCATCTGCCGTCCCGACGCTCTGGAAACAGAATTTGATATTCTAAGAGAAATTTTCTTCCAAAATGGATACCCAATGAGATTCATCGACAAGAATATCAAACCAAGAATTCGGAGAAACGAAACTCTACTTGCGTCAAAAAAGAAACTCTACATGAACCTAGATTTCAAGGGAGATTTAGCAGGCGATATTCTCAAGCGAAGGATCACATCATCTCTGAGAAGAACATTCTTTGCAACCCACTGATTTTCAGAAGCCTCAGGGACAAGATCCCGCATCTGAACACTTCTATGTGCATATATCAGTCCAGCTGCTGCTATGGAGGCAGGTACATCGGTCGGTCGACGCGCGCCCTGTCCAAGAGGATTCAAGAACACTATCCAGCCAGCATGGTTGTGAAAAGGCAATAGTGGTGCAATAAGGAGTGCGATAATTGAACACCGGGTTAACACTGATCATTCCATTTCAACAAACGCCTCCTGCTTCAAAGTAATCTACAGAGTCAAGAGCAACTATCACAGGAAATACGGTTTCGCCTTCTTTGTATCGCTGAAGCTCTGACCATTCACATTGAAAAACCGGAGCTGTGAATGCAAAAGAGGATTACTCAACCACTTCTACTGTTTTGGTAACAACTATTTTGATTTGATTTTTGATTTGATTTTTGATTTTGATGTCTTAATTTTGTTTCTTTGCCTGTTCTTTAATTGTTTAAAATTCTTGTATTCACTTAGAACTCTTACGTAATTTCGTATTATCTACTTCGTTCCTATGTGCATCCTGAGTAAAACTCACTTATCAAACTATTCACATTAATACATAACTTCTTTTAACAACTGTTTGTGACGACTCATCACCTTTGTTACTACCCTAATTTCACTAACACTTAATTTTCTTGACTGATTTCGTATTACGTAACTTCAATTACCAGTCTTCACCTGTTTAGTCAAAATAACCATAACCAATTGTATTTTTGTTTGACAAACTTAATGTACACATACATACAAAATAACACATATATATTTGCGATTGTACAGCTAAGAAAATGAATTCGCCGAAAAGAGACTCTTCGCTGATCTACGTGTTTTGTTTTCATTAATGCCTGGATGGGGACTATACATGAATATGTATATATATATCTTGTTAGTCAGAAGTTTCTAGAAAGTTAGTTGACAAGTTTGTTGTTAGGACAGTAACAAAAAATTAGTAACAATTACACAGTTAGATAAGAAAAGATCAAAATTTCGTGCTCAAGAGGTCAGATGTAACGTGATGATGTAATGTAATATGGTGAGTAGAACTCATAGGGTCAAGCAAAATTATCTCTTATGGAAGTCGTGCAGAAGAAACGAGGCGAGGGGGGCGTTGAAAAGATAAGATAATGAAGTTAGTAGACCAGGAGTTATTAAGGGATGCGTCACCAGGGTAAGTGGAGTCCAACGACAGATTCCTTTTTGACACATAGGTCAGGTTTCAGCCGTTTTCTTGTGATACCCTCAGCACACTGAAGAAGACTTGAGCTCTTTTATTTGTTGATTATTTTGAATGATGCCAGTGCGTCTACTCGGTGTCCAATGTCTATCAGATGTTTAAGTAATTGAAGAACTTAAACTACTTGGCCCCTTTGACTGGAAGCTTCTTGGTACATGTTCGAATAATCTAATGTAGGCCCTTCATTTTTTTCTTCCAGAGTAACTGCTCCCACAGATATATGTAGATTGGCATACATATTTGAAGATAGTAACATATTAGAGGTACTTGTCAATCTTTGACTACACCAACAAGGAAGATTTGTGGAGCAGAGAGACTGGTTTTGCTGCAGGATCCGTCTGTGAGAGGGCTGCGCCTAATTTTTTTTATTTATGATTCTCATAATATCATCTCCTTTGAAGTCAATTTTGATGAAAACTAGCTTCTTGCTGACCGTAGGTTCACCAAGTTTCTAACTTTAACTCTTACCATATTTGTCAATGAATCTTTGTGGATAAACATTTTCTTTCAATCAATTCTCAGTCAGCATTAGCTCTCTGTTTAATTTATCAGGTGAACATATTCTTTCCACTCTGCAGAAAAGCGTTTTCACCAGCGTTCCTGTGTAATTGGCTGCTCTATGTGCCCTTACGATATATCGATCTATACGCGTGTCCCATCTGATTTCCCCTTCAGGTTTATACCCAGGAAAT